TTTTGTTTTCATTTTCATTTCAGGTTTTTTTGCCCTCCTCCTTGTGTGTATCTTATGGGCAGTGGGTGGAAGAAAAAAAAAGAACAAATGGAACGTGATGGTTGTTCTGAACAAGAGTCTCAACCATGTGCATTTATTGGAATAGGAAATAGTGACCAAGAAATGCAGCAGCTGAACTTGGAAGGAAAGGTAAGTTAAGGCTATGTTGGTTCCCTGTAAAGGGCACCATGGTACCAGAATGTAGTTTCCTTATTTGTTTTTGTGGTAGTGGTTTTTTTCTTTTATGGCTCTTGGTAGCAATTTCTTGAATATATAAATCAGTTCCAGAAGTAAACTTCTCAAATAGCTGTGTTCTAGTCGTGATTCACAGAGCTTTGCTGTTGACATCTGAAGGTGGCACACAGTAAGCTGCTTGTGTTGCTGTCAGTTGTAGCAGGCTGTGAATCAGATTGCCATTGGAAGTAATAAACTTAGGAGGCTAATTGCTCATCTGTCTGACAGGTGTGATACTCAAAGAACAATGAGAATACATAGTTCAGTAATGGTTTACTCTGCTGTCTTAGTCTTAGTCTTATACTAGAAGCAAAGTGATGCAGATAAATTCTTAGAAGCATTTGCCTGGGGCATAAAGATCATGAATGTTTTACTTAGCTTCAGTGTGGAGCAGAACTATGCTAGAGACAAGAACAGCCACAATTAGCTTTACTCAAACTTTTAGGGACTTTCTTTGATTATTTTGCTATGGAATGAAATTTATCAATTAGTTTTACTAATTATGTTTCATGAATTTAAAAAGCAATCATTTCAGTCTGTACCTTCAGTATTCAAAAATATATTGTCTCAGTGTTTATTATTTTGTTGTCCCTTGATATTAAAATTTGAAAAATGGTTAGTTTTTTTATCTCAATGACCACATGAATGTTTTTTAAAACAGTGCATAAAAAGCTATTTCCTCACTCAGTAAATCTTTGTTGAAGATGTTAGTGTTTGCTGTGTTGTAGTTGACACTGGGGTTGGAGTTTGGAGGGCAGTATTAAGGGTGGCGAGCTGGTGGATTTGTACTCTCAAATTTAATTTTAGTCATTTTACAGATAATGAGCATTAAGAATAAGACTTAATGGGGGCTGGCCCCGTGGCTGAGTGGTTAAGTTCGCGCGCTCCGCTGCAGGCGGCCCAGTGTTTCGTTAGTTCGAATCCTGGGCGCGGACATGGCACTGCTCATCAGACCACGCTGAGGCAGCGTCCCACATGCCACAACTAGAAGAACCCACAGCGAAGAATGCACAACTATGTACCGGGGGGCTTTGGGGAGAAAAAGGAAAAAATAAAAAATCTTAAAAAAAAAAAAAAATCTTAGTTTAAAAAAAAAAAAAAAAAAAAAAAAAAAAAAAAAAAAAAAAAAGAATAAGACTTAATATCAACTTCCTTCAGATTTGAGTATTTTTATGTCATTTGTGTCTTTATAATTTTTATTAGTAAGACTTGTCAACTATTTTAAATTAGGTTTGGGATAAAACTTATTATAGTAAAAGTTGTTTCATCTTAAAAGAAAATTGAGCAGTAAAAAAATATTTCTAAATTATGATCCTTCAGCCAAAAAGTAAAGGATATGTTTAACTGGTGGGTTGATGAAATAGGCCTTAGCCATGTCTTGTCTATTTTCCTGTTATGTTGAAAGTCTCAGAGCTGTATGTCTTCAAGCTGTACATCTAGACAGTTGGAACTATGAATGATTGAATAGATTAGATAGGTAGTAAGATCCAGGGATTCTAGCTCCCAGTGTATAGAACTGTGTTAGCTGAACTTCTTTGATCACTTTAACCGGTTCCAGCTTCCAGCAATTTTAAGGGCTAATACCAAACAAACAGCATCCCTACTTGCCTTCCTTAGCATCACAGCTTAGATGTCTTTCCTCAACTTCTACCAGTATATCCTTTCCCCAAACCCTAAAAATTTACAGAAGAGGAAAAGAATACCTGAGGGTTTGAGCATTAACTAGTAGTTAAAACACCTACTGATAGAGTAGTACAATGTCTACATGCCAAAATTATATGATAATATTTCGTTTTAATGAAAAATGCTATTAGGGAATGCTTACTCTATATAAAGTAAGACGGTTAGAGCCAACAGAAGACATTCCAGGCAGAGAACAACATAATCGTGTGGTTGGAGCATAAAGGGATAAGAACAAGGTGTATTTGGGCCCCATTAGGCAAAGATGGCCTGAGCTGTGGGATGCTGACGTTCAGAAAGAGGCACTTTGCTCCTGTCTGTCTCACTTAACCTCCGTTCATTTAAGGTTAATACTGTTTTCCTTCAACAGTCTTTTCATTGAATGGTACAATTAGTCATTATTGAAGAAGGGATATTTATTTTGCATTATAAAGTATTTGTCCTTATTATTCATTACAACAAAGTTCTAGTTTATGTAGCCCTTATTTTTAGGGTCATGACATTTGACTGAATGTTGGTAATATTTTGGATCTTAGATTTCACTTAATGATGTTTTTAATTTGCTGTATATTCATCTCCTCAATTTTACATCTTACATAGTGGAGCTAGGTAAGCTATGCAATGTGAATTATATTCCTAATTATAGCACACTTATGTTTTTCTTATTTTTAAAAATTGCATCCCCTACTCCTCTCTTGATAGCATTGTTTTATTTCTGTAATTCAAATTCTACAATTCAAATATGTCTACAAAACTTTTTGCAGCATTAGGTTTGATATTTCTTTTTCATTTCAGGGAAGATATTTTTATTGCCTGAAGATCTTGTCTTCAAAGAGTTGTTTTTAAGTTAAACTGTTCATTATTTGTAGAAAGATTTATTATATGGCATTTTCTGTTTTAGAATTTTGTTAGCTAATTCAGCCTTTTTGCATGATGAAGTAAATGTAACTTTAGTTTTTATTTGCTTATTTTCTTAAAGCCATACTACTTTTTCTGAGTCAGTGGCTTTTCCCCTTTTTCTTATGAAATTTGAGTAGTTTGTGGTCAGTGGCCTCAGAATTATTATTTAAAAAAATTATAATAAAATTATCTCAGATATGATTTTTTTGTGGATTCCAACCACTCACTTTTGTAATTAGGGATATATTTCTTTTCCTTCTAAGGAGATATATGTGTGTTTGCTTTTTCCAAACAAAATGAAGCCCTTTGTGTGTAGATCTTATGATCCAACCTTCTCTGCTCTTTTTTCCTTGCCTGTTTGCCAGTCTATCTTATCACTTATGCTAGATTTCAGTATTTTCTCTTTTCTCATATAGATCATATCCCTTAGTGTTAACACTCACATTAAGTGATCTTAACATTTTTAGGTTTTCCCAGTAGAATGTAATTGTTTTAATTTAGATACAGATTTCATTTTTGTTTTCTACAGCTGTCTGCTTTAGTATATTGATATTAAAGATTGATAGACTTTGTCTTATGTTGCAGAACAATCACATAAGTTAGGCTTTCTTTCATCTTCAGTGCTTTTTAAAGCATGGCAGACCCAGGGCTCCTGCCACAGCATCCCTGAGCTCTTGGAGATTCTTGGGTGAAAGGAGCTGTGTGAGTTCAAAGTGCCATTGTTTTTATTTTTCCTATTGCTGTTATTAGCTATATCTTGGTTTTGCCTTCTGCAGAACAAAGTCTCTCAAAGCTTTTACTACACTTTTGAATTTATAGAAACTTAAGTGTAAAATGTTCAAAATGGCACCTAAATTTTCTTATAGAACTTTGCTGTTGAGAAATGAAGTAAACTATGGTATTATTTTTGTTCCACTACTAAAAATTGCCTGTAAGTAAAATTTTAAAGATTAAAAACCTAGAACATGTTAGGTATCTCCTAAGCGTGGCATTTGCCCTACTTAAAGGAACACACAGCAGAGGTAGTCAAAGAAACTTGTTTAGCCTAATTTTAAAGTAGAGCATTGATTTTTTTTTTTAATGTAATTCAGATATTGTAAATACTTAAGCTGTGTTTGAGCGTCATTTATCCAAATCTAGAAAAGGAGATCACAGGGATCAGGGAAGAGGAAAGATTTTAGAATTGTCGTATCTAATTGAACTTGGTGCATTTCCAAGTGTCTTTGCTGTTTCACAAGGGCTGTAACTCTTTAATGCTGTCGTTTTAGGTATTAGAATTGATTTTCTGGTAAACTGATGTAACCTTGCTGCATTTATTTTCTCTAGTACCTTTAAATTCAGTTCTTTTGGTGATACAATATGAATTATCCCATTGGGCAAAGTTAACCAAATAGTTTAAAAATATAAAGTATACTCGTATAATCCCTTTCTAGCATAAGATATTTTATAGTCATCAGTTGGTTGAACATTGTTTTCCTCGAACTTACAGGGGTTTAATCTAGTGTTCAGCTATGTAGAGAAAAACATTGTATGCACTATTTTGAGAAGGACCACTGCTAAAATCTTTTACATAATTCAGTTGAATTCTGATAGACTTCTTTATATCTCTTCTTTGCCTACTTTTTTTTTTTTTTTTTTTTTTGAGGAAGACTGGCCCTGAGCTAACATCTGTGCCAGTCTTCCTCCGCTTTGTATGTGGGACTCTGCCACAGCATGACTTGATGAGCGGTGCATAGGTCTGTGCCGGGGATACAAACCCACGAACCCTGGGCTGCCAAAGCAGAGTACGTGAACTTAACCAGTACACCACTTTGCCAGCCCTGTAAAGTTCTATTTTTAAAAATTGTGCTGTAACATTGATAATTCTGTGAAATAGATGTAGAGCTATATAAATCAAAAAAAGTATTTTTTAAGGTGGTCTTTTGAGAGGGTAAAATAGATCACGTTAGTCTTTTATAGACTTGGTAAGGGAGACTGTACTTTGTTTTCAGAGATCAATTTCAGTAATTTATACAATTGGTTTTATCAGCAATTCATTGAAATTATTGCATTTAAGTATGATCAAACCTTATACCCATGGCCGTTGTATTGTAGGTGCATAACCAGCAAGGTTTTGGTGCTATTAAAGCTTTTCTTTTCTTTCACAGAACTATTGCACAGCCAAAACATTGTATATATCTGATTCAGACAAGAGAAAGCACTTCATGTTGTCTGTAAAGATGTTCTATGGCAACAGTGATGACATCGGTGTGTTCCTCAGCAAGCGGATAAAAGTCATCTCCAAACCTTCCAAGAAGAAGCAGTCATTGAAAAATGCTGACTGTATGTATACTTGAGTTTTCTTTTTTCTCCCCAACTGCCAACATGATTAAATAAGACAAATTCAACTATTTTTTAATTTAAAAATTTCTTTTCAATATCCAATTCATTCTTTACCACTATTTTTGTGGCCCTCGCTTTATCTGAAAATGACGAATTCAATTATTATTGCTGCTTTATTTTCTCCTTTTTTTTTTTAAATTGTAAGTGGACAATAGCTGGTCTAGGAAAGTGGTTCTTAGCCAGCATTGCTTCCTCACTGCTTCCCAGAGGCATTTGGAAAAAGGGAGTTTTTCCCTTTTGCTGTCACTGCGACTGGAGGGAGCAATGTTAGGATTGGGTGTCTTGGGCCAGTGATGCTAAATCTGTAATGCCCAAAATAGTTACCATTCCACAGAGAATTGATCCACCGAGAGTGTCAAAAGCATCCCTTTGAGAAAAACTGTTGTTACATCAAATGGCTTTGGAAGGGCATGCTGAGAGCCCAAACAAAACGTTTAACATGGTTGTCTGGCAGAGACTGCTGTCTCATCAGCAGATTTTAGACTACCAAAGACAATGCTAAAATTACGCATTTCAACCTCTACCCCCGTTTTTCTTTTTTTTATTTTAACTTTTTATTATGAAAACCTTCAAACTTAAAAGGGAGAAAGTAGTATAAGGTGAACATCCACTGGGCCTCAAAAGGTTTTGTCACTTCTGTTTCATTATCTCCATCACCACCAACATCCCTTCCTCCTCCAGCTGCTGAAATTTTTTAATGTAAGTCTCAGGTGTCTTATTCTTTGAAGCATTTTTGCAATAGTGACTCTGATTTTCTTTTTAAACATCATTGCACCTAACGAAGTTGGCAGTAGTTCTTGAATGCCATCTAATAGCCAATCTATGTGCAGATTTATCACATTGTCTAAGAAATATGTTCTTACAGTTGTGTTTTTATTGTTTTCTTTCTTTTAAATAACTGGCTTGTTCAAACCTGGATCCAAACAAGGTCCATATATTTTAATCTGTAATAGTTTCTTCTCCCTCCCTCTAACCTATTTTTTCTTTCATGTCATTTATTTGTTGAAGAAACCGTGTAATATTTTCTGTGAAATTTCCATATTCTGGATCTAGATGATTACATGTTTCTCTGTCTCTCATATTTTCTATATACTGGTAATTAGACCTAAGGACTTCTATTTTAAAATTAGCTGCTCTATATATGTTCATTTCCATCAGATCAGAAGTCATATAATATCTGGTTATCCCACTTCTTTTCATGTTAAGATTGGTTATCGTAAGTTAGCCTCATTCATCATTGTAAAGTTCCTCAGCAGCCTTTAACCTGATGGTTTTAGTAGCCATTGATGATGGCTGCTTAAATACAGTATTTCATTAAGGGCTGCAAAACGGTGATTTTTCTAGTATTATTCATAACTTATGCATTTATTAGCTGCTGGCTTCAAATGTAGTCTGTAGAGAAAAGGCAGGATGAATTCTTACTAACTGGTTTGCAGAATAATGATGGTATTTTTTGAAGGTGACCAGTGAGGTTTTAGGATTTTTTTTTGTTTGCTTTGTGTATATTTTGTTTGTAAAGTTTTATTATGAACTTATGAGATTTTATGTGTTAGATGGTTTTTAGTCCACTCAGTCCTTGTTATTGTCATCATTTACTTTATATTGTGGAAATTTTCAAACATCCTAAGGTAGGCAGTTGCATAATGAAGTGAAACCTCTGTGTGCATCCTCTAACTTCAGCAGTGATCTTAACTTCAAGCCAGTCTTAGTCCATCTTCATCTATACCTCTATCCTGTCCCCACTTTCATCTGCTCTCATTTTAGTTCACTGCAAATCCGACACCATATCATCTGTGAATATTTCTGTATATTTCTGAAAGATCTCATTTTCTAATATCACAATACCATCATTACATAAAAACAAACATAAAACGAAATAATTTTTTCGTATCATCAAATACATAGTCTAAAATGCCCTTTTTTTGAATCAAAATTCAAATAAGGTCCATCAGATATTACAATATATATTGTGTTGACATGTCTTTGAGTATTTTTTGTCTGTGAATTCCTTCTCCATCTCTCTCTTTCTTTTCTCTCTTCTTGTAATTTATTTATTTTATTCAAGGAACTGAGTCATTTGGCCATGAGAGAGTTATATGTACTGGATTTTGCTAATTTCATTTGCTTGGTGCAGTTTAATGTGTATTTTGTAAATTGGTAGTGTCAGAAACCGAGCCAGACACTAGTTAAAGGTAGTAAAGACAGATTTTAGTCAGTACTATTGCAATAGGGAACAGAGACTTCAGTATGGAAATAAACTTGATTCCAAATACAACAAGGAGAAGTGGGGATTTATAGCCAAGGAGCAGAGTGAGGGGTGTCATTGGATGGAAAATTACTAAGAGGGTAGGGGGATTCTTGACAATCCAGCCTAACCAGGATTCTTGCCAAAGGCAGGCCTAGGTGATCAGATAGAAAGGGTGGGGAATGAGAAACTTCATGAGATACCAAGGGTGCGAGGATGATTTGGCAGGATTCTTGCGGTACCCTGGGCTAGGCAGGCTGATGACAGGGCCCAAGAAGGAGGCCTAGTGCAAAAGAGGGCTCAGGGGGGCCTCTTTGAAGTTTGGTCAAAGGTCTTTGTCAGTGGTAGTTTTAGAAGCTTGATCAGATTTAAGTTTGTTGTTGTTGGGGATTTTTTGTTGTTGCTGGAGGGCAGGCCTACTTCAGAGTAGTAGAGTGTTCTTTATCAGGAGGTGTATAATGTCATGTATTCAGGCTGTTTCCAATTCCGATTACAGGATTTTATTTAACTATGTATTTCTATTGACTATAAGTTTCTTGATGTCAGGGAACATATTTCATTATCAGAATAGTTTCCTGTTGTTTTTTCAAGAAATTTCACACAATGCTGTATTTTAAGTTATTTTAGAAGAAATCAGAATCTCTAAAATCACAATATCCAGAGGCACTTGCCATCAACTTTGATAAACATCCTTCTGGACCCCTCTCTATGAATATATTCCATAGGATGGGATGTGAGCACATGGAAACACACGTGCAATCGTATAAAAGAATACATGTTTACCTAACGGATCCACAGTATACAGAGTGTTTTATAGTCTGCTTTTCAGTTCAATGATAATCCGGGGAGATATTTTCTTACCAATGCATTTAGATACACATTTTTTAAATAGGTGAATGATATGATATTTAATAAATTTCCTACTATTGGACATTTATTATTTAAAAGGTAATTTCCCTTTAATAAACAGCACTGCATTAAACGTACTGTTTAGCTCTTACTTAAAAATGACTTTTATGGACATATTTTATACCTTTAGCTTGACATTATTAATGGGAGTTACCTTTTTGGAGGGTATAATCTGTATTTCCTGGGAGGGTTAAAAAAATGTTAGCAGAATCTCTTAATTATTAAATTATAATAAAGAATAATCATAGCTTGCCAGGTACAGGTTCCTTCTGACTCTCCTTCCTCCCCAAATCACATAAATAGGAGCTGTTTTTCTTTGCAGTGTGCATTGCCTCAGGAACAAAGGTGGCTCTGTTTAATCGACTTCGATCCCAGACAGTTAGTACCAGATACTTGCATGTAGAAGGAGGTAATTTCCATGCCAGTTCTCAGCAGTGGGGAGCATTTTACATTCATCTCCGTGAGTATGAAAGTGTGCACTTGATGTTTTTGGTGTGAAATTGTTAAACTCTTTTTTGATAATAAGACATACAGATATATTGTTTTGTCATTTTCCTAAGCAGATTAATGAATTCTAGAAGACAATAATTTGATCTCTTTTTCCACTCCTATACAGTGGATGATGATGAATCAGAAGGAGAAGAATTCACAGTTCGAGATGGCTACATCCATTATGGACAGACAGTCAAACTTGTGTGTTCGGTTACTGGCATGGCGCTCCCGAGATTGGTATGGCTCCCCTTTTGCTTTAACGATAGTGTAGTAAACGTTAAAACAGAAAAGCCACCACATTCGAATGTAAAACTACACCTCAATTTCATGCTTTTTAATGTAAAAAGATAGCTCAATAATCACTGCTATTTATAATCGGCAATTATATTCCCACCTTATTTGAAGAATGCATTCTTAAGAACTTCCTGTTATACTATTTCTAATAAATTTTGGTGGCATTTTTCCTTTTTGGTTGTATAATACATGTTTGATAGAGGGCACTGTATAGTTACGTCATGATTTCTTTTCTTGGCTAACACAGATAGTCTGTATTCATTTTTTGTGATACTTGCTGCATCCCAACATAGGACCAAGTTTTCAAAAGTGTAGAAATTCTTATTTCTTTAAAAATGTAAGCATAATTTTTATTAATTTTACTCTCCCACAAGAAGATAGATTTATTAAAAATTAAGTAAAATTGATATTTCTTATTCTGGGAAAGAGACATAGTGTTTAGGGCTTTTATTTACTAGGAGCTTCTTAAAACTATAAACATTGCTTTTCTTCGCAACGTGAAAGCAAAAGCCCCTTATACTTCCTCCCCCATATTCCTCCTCCTTTCTGAAACAATACAATTTAGTTATATTAAAGATGGGAGGGGATTAATGAGTAAGTTTGATTCACAGTTGATTCAGATTAGGGGGTTGCATGAGTGGGAGAATATTTAGTAGTACTATTCCTGAATGTGCTGTGTATTTGTATCTTTGGTGGAATATTTCACTGGCTTATCTTTTCTGGGACTGTTTCAGCAGGGGCTGGGTTGATCTATAATTGTCTAAGTAAATGCATCATTTCTTTTTGTTTTTTTTTATTTTTCTATGTCATGATTGTACAAGATGATTTTATTTCCCATCTCAACTTAATAAACTAAAATATATGAAATGTGGTAATATTAGTTTATAAAATCTTAAAATTGAGACAAATTATAATAAAAAGGGTAAAGGTAGGGAAAGACGGATGTAAAAATGGAAGGAAAAATGCAGACAAAAAACGAAACCACAGCGTAAGTTATAATGTTCCTTCTACCTGGTTTCTTAGATTCTTTCCTCTTCTTAATAATTAGAAGTGATCAAAGCAAGTTTTTGATGACAAATAGTAGTGGAGATCTTTGATTTCTTTATTGCTAAGAGCCAGGCGATTCAGTAGTATCTATGTCCAGAGAACTATTGTAGGGGATAAAATGGACCCAAATATGGCCTGCATTCTGTTCTCAGTGTGCTTAGAATTCCTAGCTAGTGGAGAGACAGTGGAGCACACAGAACAGTACTGGAGGCAGATGTCGACGCTGCCGTGGGAGAGAAGCATAGAGGAGTGCTGTAGACTCGCAGGAAGCTGGAGACCTGCGTCATTCAAAAATCAGTTACTTCTGGAAATCTAAACCTCATGCAATTTAAATACAGCTTCAAGACTTTAGCATTGAGTCGAAACATTTTGCTTGAGTTTAATTAGGCTCACAGACTATCTTAGAAGCTATAATTGCTAAAAGTGTACTGTCTCCCTTTAAACTCAAAAATTAGTGGTGGTCTAAGTAAATGACAAATATTCTGACTAATAAACTGCAGAACTAAAAATGTGTAAATATGAAGAATGTTAACTTTGAGGATTGGGACTTTCACACAGTTGTGGCTTAGCTGAAGAAAAATGATCTTTGAATATGAGTTATGAGTTAAGTAATAAAAGCCAGTAATGTTGCATAATATTAATAGCACCGTTCTAAGCACTTTTACATATATTGATTCATTTAGTCCTCATAAAACTCTGTGAGTAGTTACTCTTAAGGATGTTCATTGTGGAGCAAATTACAGTCATACATGCATTCTATAAATATTCCTGTACCCTCTATGTCCCAGGCATTGTCTAGATGCTGGAGATACATTTGTGAGCAAGACAGACTCATCCTCATGGGGCTTACATTTTGGTAGGGGGTAGACGAAAATCAGCTAAAGAAATACTCATATAATGTATTAAAAGGTTGATGAAAGTGACAAGAAAACAAATTAAAACAGGATAAAGGGATAGAGAATTGAGAGAGTGCCCTAGAGCGGTCAGAGAAGTCTTGAGGTAGGGATATTTGAACAGAGGCCAGAATGAAGTTAGGGAACCACAGACTGGGTGAGGAGCATTTCAGGCAGACAGAATGAGTACAAAAAGAACTTAAGACTCGAATGTGTGTGAGGACTAGTAAGGAAACCATTACAGCTAGAGCTGAGGGAGGGATGGAGGGGGCAGGTGGCAGGAAAGGAGGCTGCAAGGTTAGCCATGGGCAACATCGTTTTTTTTTATTGCGGTAACATTGATTTATAACATTATGTAAATTTCAGGTGTACATCATTGCATTTTGATTTCTGTGTAGATTACATCATGCCCACCAGCCAAAGTAATTATAATCCATCACCATACACATGTGCCTAATCACCCCTTTTGCTCTCTTTCCTCCCCCTTTCCCCTCTGGTAACCACCAATCCAGTCTCTGTTGCTATGTCTTTGTTTTTATCTTCTACTTAAGAGTGAGATCATATGATACTTGACTTTCTCCCTGTGACTTATTTCACTTAGCATAATACCCTCAAGGTCCATCCATGTTGTCACAAATGGCCAGGTTTCATTGTTTGGCTGACTAGTATTCCATTGTGTATATATACCACATCTTTATTCATACATCCCTTGCTGGGCACCTAGGTTGCTTCCAAGTCTTGGCTATTGTGAATAATGCTGCAATGAACATAGGAGTGCATGTATCTTTATGCGTTTGTATTTTCATGTTCTTTGGATAAATACCCAGCTGTGGGATAGCTAGATCATATGGTAGTTCTATTCTTAATTTTTTGAGGAATCTCCATACTGCTTTCCATAGTGGCTGCACCAGTTTGCACTCCCACCAGCAGTGTATGAGAGTTCCTTTCTCTCCGTATCCTCTCCAACACTTGTTGTTTCCTGTCTTGTTAATTATAGCCATTCTGACGGGTGTGAGGTAATATCTCGTAGTTTTGATTTGCATTTCCCTGATAGTTAATGATATTGAATATCTTTTCATGTGCCTGTTGGCCATCTATATGTATTCTTTGGAGAAATGTCTGTTCAGATCTTTTGCCCATTTTTTAGTTAGTTTTTTTTGTTATTGAGATGTGTGACTTCTTTGTGTATTTTGGATATTAACCCCTTATCAGATGCACAGTTTGCAAACATCTTCTCCCAGTTGCTACCTTGTGTTTTCGTTTTGTTGATGATTTCCTTTGCTGTGCAGAAGCTTTTTAGTTTGATGTAGTCCCATTTGTTTATTTTTTCTATTGTTTCCCTTGCATGGGCAACATCTTGTAGGGTTCCTCTCTGTATGTAGGGTAAGGACTTCATATTATCTGTGTGTGATAGGAGGCTATTGGAGGGTTTTAAAAAGGGAATGATGGCTGATTTATGTTTAGAAGGATAATTCTGTCTGCTCTGTAGAGAAGAAGGCATAGAGATGTAGCAGAGGAAGCAGAGAGACAGATGGTTGGGCTTTTGTCATAATTGAGGCAAGAGTTGATGATGATACCTTAGATTAGGATTGTCATAGTGAGATGATGAAAGCTGACTGACTTGTTTGAAAGTAGACCTAGCTAGCAGAGTTTGTTGACAGATTGGATGATTGGGTGTAAGAGAACACAAAGAGTCAAAGATAGGTTTTTGGATTGAGTGAACAGGGGTGCCATTTATTGAGCTGTGAGTTGGGGAGGATCACATATAGAAGCAAATCAGAAATTCTGTTTTTGATTAAGATAGAGATGCCTATTAGATATCTGACATAGAACTGTTGAATAGATAGTTAAATATGCAAGTTGAGTGCCTGAGAGAGGATAGTCCTGGCAATAATAAATTTAGGAGTTAGCAACCTCTCAATAGTGTAGAAAGTATTGAGTGTGGAGAGAGGAGAAGAGATCTCAGGACTTGGCTCTGAGGCACTCTGAAGGCCAGTTAGAGCAGGGGTATCCCCAAAAGGAGAATGTGTCAGATGCTTCTGAGAAAGTTAATAACATGAGGACAGAGAAGCGCCTGTGGGATTCGTCTGTCTGGCAGTCCTTGGTGACCTTGACAAGAGCAATTGTAATGGAGACTGAGACAAAAGGCTGGAGTGATTTCAGGAGATTAGATGGTGAGGAAGAGAAGTGTGCTATGAAGGGGAGCAGAGAAACGGGGTGATGAGAGGGAGGGACAAGGACATGTAGTCAAGGAACGGTTTGCTTTACTCTTGATTTTAGATCAGAAATAATTGTAACATGTTAGTATGCTCTTGGGGGTGATCTTCATAACCATGAAACACTTAGTGATTACCTTCTATGTGACAAGTAACATCTAAGGTTTGATAGGATTATCTTTCAGATATCTGTATGTGTTTTGTGGAATATTTGGATTATCAAATTGTAGAGTGTATTGGAGAGTTCAGGCTGGGCAGGCAGGCAGCCCTGGAATTATATCCTGGTCCTTCAGCTACTAATCAGGTGATGTTGAGGAAGTTACCTGACTTCTCTGAGCCCATTTCATAATCTGTAAAATGATACCTATTTTAGATTTTTAGAAAATATCGGTATGATAATGGACTGCACTGACTAATACACCCACAGTAGCCTTTAGAGATAGTTTTTCCTTTGATGTTGGAATATTTGTTGTTGTATATTGTTGGAATGGTCATGTGAACTTGCTACTCAAAAGTTGGTCCCTAGACCAGCAGAATTACCCTCAGCTGGAAATTTGTTAGAAATGCAGAATATCAGCCCCAACACGAGATCTGTAGGATCAGAACAGATGTATTTGAACAAGAGCCCCAGATAGCTTGTATGCACGTTAAAGTTTGAAAAGCAGTCATCTAGAAAACTAGTGCCTGCCTGCCCTGTTGTTTTAGATATTCATGGAAGACGGTAACAGTTTCTGTATTCTAACATGCTTGCAATCTAAAAGTATTTTTTTATACCTAGGCTTGTTTATAAATGTTTTTGTATATGTAGGTATATGACACATAACTGTGATATATTATTATATAACAAATCTTTCTGTGTACTCATGACAGTACAAAGAACAACTCTCCGTATGTGATGACCTTTTCTTTTTTTAATTATTGAACTATAGATAATTAGGAAAGTTGATAAGCAGACTGCATTACTGGATGCAGATGATCCTGTGTCACAGCTCCATAAGTGTGCATTTTACCTTAAGGATACAGAAAGAATGTACTTGTGCCTTTCTCAAGAAAGAATAATCCAATTTCAGGTATGTTTTTAAATTACTGGTAAAATCTAAAATGTGCGAACTTTTGGGTGAGCAGCGTACAGAAACATGAAACTCATTTAATGTTAATTGTAACCAAGCTGTGTTCATGAAGCTGTGTTCAGGTCTTTATCTCAAGTCCAAGGGCCCTTAACCTACCTGGTCCTCAGACATGCTGGTCATGCCACGTCAGGGAAGAACTCAAAACTATGAAAATATTTTCAGAGAAACAGTTAACATTTAGTTGTAGGGAATAAAAATCCCCTTAGACTATCCAAAAGGAGACTTTGGGCATTGGGTGAATCCCCTGAAATTGTGTGCAGACGTTGTGTATAGATGCACAGTATTTTGGGGGAGGGTTCATAATTCTCATCACATTTATTGGGGTCTTCCAAGATAGTAATGGTGACACGTTTCAAAAGCCAATTGTTGACTACATTTACTCAGAAGGCTTTCAGTGAGGATATTTATGACATGGGCAAATGGTTTAATAGGATAGTTACACTTGCATGTGAAACTCATTTGTAAACAGCTGGAGACCTGTTCCAGAGCCATGCTCACACACAGATCAGCACTGCTGGACTGGGCCAGGTGTTTAAGGTAGAGAGAGGGGGTTGCCGGTTCACGTCTTGGTTCCCTCTTACTGGAAGTACAGGAGTTTCTAGCTGTTCTTTCAGCATGAGGGCTTCCATTCTCGCTCTTTCTTGGGGATCCCGAAAGAGTTTTAAACGGCTATTTACAGCACAGATGGTGATCTTTTATTAAAGAAATTATTTAGGTACTGCTGTACTCTTAAATGGTTATTCTGAAAGTATTACTAGTTATTTAATATGTCACTGAAATATTTCTTATTATAATGAAAATTGCTGTATGTGAGATTTCCACATTAATATTATGTTTATGTTTACTTAGGTATTGGCAAAGCACCATGCTTGGGAAGTTTATAAATTTTTACTAAATTCTCTCCATGACAACTCGAGTCTATGAGTGTTTTGTTAGTGTCGTGGAATTGGTTACAACTCCTAGTGCCCCTGTGGACAGCAGAGCGGAACCCTGCCCAGGCTTTTTGTGCCATCCTCTAACCTTCGGGCGCTGTATCAGACAATGCTCCAGTGCTATTCATAGCGTTTCCATGGCTACTTTTTTCAGAAGTGGGTGGCCATGTCCTTCTTCCCAGTCTGTCTTAGTCTGGAAGCTCCACTGAAACCTGTCCACCATGGGTGACCCTGCTGGTATTTGAAATACTGGTGACACAGCTTTCAGCATCACAGCAACATGCAGCTGCCACAGTATGACGACTGACAGATGGGTGGTGTGGTTCCCCGATCAGGAAATGAGCACTAGGTCACAGCAGTGAGAGTGCCAAATCTAAACACTAACCAGACCACCAGGGCTGGCAACTATGAGTTTACCTTGTTAAAATTGTCTTATACTGTATTGTATATAAAACTCAATTTCTAAACATTCTTTCTTCATAAGGCCACTCCATGCCCAAAAGAACCAAATAAAGAGATGATAAATGATGGAGCTTCCTGGACAATCATTAGTACGGATAAGGCAGAGTATACATTTTATGAGGGGATGGGCCCTGTCCTTGCCCCAGTCACACCTGTGCCTGTCGTAGAAAGTCTTCAGGTGAGACCACTTAATCATAAGCTGACTTTCAGCTCTTTGTAACTGCTCTTAGATATGACTTGGCGTAATTTTATTTCACAATAATGTTGATTTTTCTCCAAATCTTATGATTTGGGGATTTTGTTATACATCATTTCTTGATTAATAATATGAAAATAGAAGAAACATTTTATCCAAGAAAATTTAAATTTAAATCAACTTGTATGTTATCTTGAGATATTTTTAGCTCACTTTGTCTTAATAATCATGTAATTTAAAAGAAGCATTTTTTCCCCAAGTGACAGTCAAATGAGAAACTAATCAGCATACTTTAATGAAAAATGAAAAGTTTTCTCAATGTTATTTTGATTTTCTGTGAATTGCAGCTGAATGGCGGTGGGGACGTAGCAATGCTTGAACTCACAGGACAGAATTTCACTCCAAACTTACGAGTGTGGTTTGGGGATGTAGAAGCTGAAACTATGTACAGGTACTTGATAAAACTTTTTTATATCATCCAGAATTTTTGATGGGAGTGGGTACATGAGATTCCTTCCTGATATTGATTGTAATATATTAAGCAACTTTAAGTTTCAGTTCTAAAATTTGCCTTACTCTTAAGTGATTTATATTTCCTCCTCAGATGTGGAGAGAGTATGCTCTGTGTTGTCCCAGACATTTCTGCATTCCGAGAAGGTTGGAGATGGGTCCGGCAGCCAGTCCAGGTTCCAGTAACTTTGGTCCGTAATGATGGAATCATTTATTCCACCAGCCTTACATTTACCTACACACCAGAACCAGGGCCACGGCCACATTGCAGTGCCGCGGGAGCAATCCTTCGAGCCAACTCAAGCCAAGTGCCCCCTAATGAATCAAACACAAACAGCGAGGGAAGTTACACAAATGTCAGCACAAATTCAACCAGTGTCACATCGTCTACAGCAACAGTGGTGTCCTAACTACCGTCTTTTTGCTAGGACTTAAACTGACTGGAGTGTGGCAACATGTTGGCAGAAAGAAAAAGAGAAAAAAATGAACAATCTTGTGGTTTCTTGGGAAAACTTTTCATACCAGGTGATACTGTTCAAAAACCCCATACCTGCAAGTGCTGATTTGAAGTGCAGAAGCCACAGTAAAACAAACACCATCAAAATGTACAAACTATTGGAAATTGATTTTTTTCAGCTGTTATTTTTGTTCGGTTGGTATTTGTTTGGTTTTGTTTAAATGGGCAAGAAATAGAGATGTGGCTGGAATAAAAGTTAATCAAACTAGAAGACACAAATCTAACATAGTTTTTATGGACCAAGGAACTTGTATAAGCTTTAGTAAAGGTACATTTTCACCATACCTTTTTTATATCACAGTATATAGTACACCTTTGTTACCAAATAGGTTGTTCTCTTCCCCGCCCCCTGTGAGCTTTTGCTCTTAAGTACATTCAGGTTCCAAGCCTGACCATGCTTGTTTAAGTACCATACTCTTCCAGGTTCTTTTGGTCTAAGGCTGGAACTGTTCTTTCTATTTTATTTTTTTTTTTAAAGCTGAAGTCTTAGGACTTTTCATGAGCTGAAATTGTTTTGATTTCAGCAAGTCAAATCTTGTAAAGGCCTGCATATTTTTTTTTTAAGATTATATGAAGTCTGTGCAAAAGCTTTAAAAAAATGCCTCTGCCTTGCCTGCAATACATGCAACGTACGTTAACTTAGTCTCTATTCTCAGACACTGTTGGTAGTTATTTCTGTGTTCTCCTTTTTTAAAAATATGTATTTATAGTGGTAATCCAAGAGGTTCTAACATTTACATGGAATTAAATGTCGCCATTTAGTCATTAATGAGTTCATGGCACAGGACATGTTGGTATTTGAAGTGTTCTCTCCCCATTTCCCATGCATAAATGTGTCTACATGTTCTAGGATTTGTTCAGGTTTTCCCCCCTCCTAATCTTGTACATAACTTGTATTATGTGTAAGTTAAACATTTTATTTTGAACTTGGAATGTTCCCGGTGATTTCATTCAGCAGGGTGTTTTCTGCCTTGTTGGCATATGACAAAAAAAATATCATGCGAAGTGTTTGCTACCACTTGGTAGGTGGCGCCCTTATTGTATAATGAGGAAAAGCTCAGCAAGAGCATGTTTTTATTTACTTTTTCTTTTTGGTAGCCTAGGCCAAAACTTCATTGTAATCTTAAAACAAGATGCTTTTATTAGATGACCAACTAAAATAGCTGGAAGACAGTACTTGAGAAACAGATAGTTGTGAGATTATAAAATTGCAAGTGTAACATCTTTCCATTTTTCTCCCTGCCGTTTTTTGTTTTCTCTTCCCCAGTACTGAGCATCTTCACAAATGTCTCCCACTCGGAAAACATCTCTTTTCCATTCAGTTAGGATTTGATCACAGTCAGGGTTGTGAGTTGGCCTTGCATGCTGGGCTCACCAGTTGTACCTGGCTTCCATTCCTGCTCTTTGGTTATGCCTTTGTTCAGTTTCTCAGAAATTCAGCCGATGCTGGGCTTCGTTTAGTACAGGAACCACGTGTGTGGTGTTAGAGGACACCGTCTAGTGATACAATCATCCTTCTGAGAGTAAAAACTACCTCTAGATTGTGGTAAGCTTTTACTGTCCCATAAAACAGGAGCCACAAGTACCTTATGAATGCAAAGCTGTTAACTTCCTGCAGTGTTTCCATGCAGAACATTGTCTTTGTGGTGTCCAGCGCTATTTTGAACAAGTTTCCATAGGTAGACTTTTTAAACATCCTTGTAAGTAGCTTTTTTTTCCCCAGCTTTGCTATCTTCTTCACTCATTCTTTTGCTCAGACTATGCCATTGTAAATACAATTCCTAATGTCTTTACATCACTTTTTCCTCAGTTTTCAAGGGGGAAGTCATTTGTAAAACATGTTAGTGGTTAAATCAAAGTCATTGTGGTTTTCTCTTACTGCAAGCCTTTTTAATTACTCACAGGCTGCATTATACTATATATAGCCTTCTCTTCAAATCTGCTCTAGTCACTAGCTTCTCTCCTGTGAGCTAATCTTGCCTCACACTTTAAATCTGTTTCAGTGATGAAGGGCAGAATTCATTGTGGCCTTACCTGTCTTTGTTTTAACTGTTTACTGGCTTTTTCTTGCAAACTTGCTTATTTTGGAGTAGTGGGTATTCTTCTTCCCGTTGAGTCTCGGTGTTTCTGTTCAGAGCGTGGAAATGTTTTCAGTGCTGCTTTACATTTAATGGGCCACAAGTTTCCTCCGCTTCCCAGGTTTGGTATTTAGTTACGAAATTCTATTAAATTAACTGATAACAGATGAGATGCTTTTAAAGAACAAACTATTCCTTACCCAGCTTTGCAGCTCAAAATAATTTTCAAGTTTATGACTTTATTAAAATGAACTTTTGCTTTTTTACTGTTTAACTATATCTTATTTGGCTCTTCATTTCTTTTAATAAGATAATTGAAATGTTAGACTGTAAACCCTTTTCCTGTTTTTTAAAAGTCCAAGAATGTACTTACACAGACATTTCCCCTACTATTTTATGCCATTCTACATACCACAAACTAAAGACTGAAATGATTTGTCTGTTGTAGTTTATTGTCTATCAGTAGTTCTTTTGTCAGCTGCTTAAAAAAAGTTTTCATGGATTTGTGAATCACTTTCAGTGTATAATGTATAGGAGCCTTGTCCTCCGGTTATGGTAGAACACGGCCCCTCCCCCAATGGTGGCATTGTTAGAGATGCTGGTCATTTTCCCTCATAAAGACCCTCTCAGAATGATAACCTCTTCAGTTAAAGTATACTACATTCAAGTGTTTTCTTCTTTTAAATTCTGTTTTAGAAGTATATCTTAGGCTCTCATGATCCTATGCAGTTTCTAAAAATATGCGTAGAAGCTGAGTCTGATCCAGTAAGTTTTTATTAGTTCCATTGAATTGATCACGTAGATTGGCCTTAAGTGCAAAATACTCGTTTTATTCTGAATGATTTTAGAGTTAAACACTAGTATAATATTTAACCTGCTGCTGACTTCTTAAACTGTGGCAACTAAAGGCATCCTCATATATGTATTAGTGAAATATTTGTCACCCTTACTCCACAGACTTATTTGCAATCATAACTGGTTAGTTTGTTTTTTAAATGAAACTGGTACCGTCTGTGCCCTCAGAGGAAATTTCCAATGCAGTTTTTGGGAACTAAACTAGTCATGTTTAACCAGATAATCCATAGGGATGGAGGGGTCCTTTTTGAAACAAAATGCTATTCAGTTATTAACCAAGTTACTTATTTTTGGTTTCAAAAGCAGCTGTGTTTCTGATGAGTACTGAACAAATGTGTGTAATTTTCTGTGCCAGACTTTTGACTTTGTTTTCAAGCACTGTAATGTGGGATGGATGGTTAGAAACAATAATATATTAGGGTTTCTATTTAACCCTTTCAGGACTGAACTGTATCTCCTTTCATTAATTTTGCCCTGTGTCGTGATAAATGTTTGCCAGCATTCAGTACTGTGTTGGTCCAGATGTAGGTTTATATGCTCATTTTTAGCTTATTTCTTGTACCTTGCAGCATGCTGTACGCATTCAGTCCTTAAGGGGTTTATTTTACAAACTGTGCGCCTGTAAGGTTTATTAGCAATAAGATAGAAAATTGAGCAAGTTTATACCATAATTTTGTAGAAAAAAGAATCTGCTCAGTTCCATATTTCATCCATGAGAAACTTGCAATATGGGCAGTTTCAAGGAATAAATAAAAAGGAAATGTAAACCATTGTAAAAGTCTTCTCTTGGCTGTGCCTGATGCATGTGTTATCGTCTTTGATTTCAGAATACTTCATAAAGATAAAATGAAATTCCGTATTACAGTTCGTGTATTTACAATCTTACCTTGTTACCTGCATCACATCAGAGTGGTAGACATGCTAATTTCCTTTCCACTGTTTTTAACTGTGTAGTGGTTTAAAGAGTTGGGGGGTTTTTCTCCCTTGTAAATGAGGAAATAGTCTTTGTCACTCAAGGGGCATATTTCCCAATTTAGGAACATTTCAAGCTAATCTCCTAATCTCAACAAAATTGGAGAGTATTATTTAGCAACAGCTTCTTTTTTCCAGTGTGAGGTTGACATTTGGTCTGGTGTACGAAAGAACATGTAATGGTTTTTGCCTTTTGATGGGGGCTTCTAATCAGAAAGAGAGCAAAAGTTTGTTTAATAGGGAAATAGAAAGTAAAAGGGGGAAGTAACATTTTTCAAATCATAGCACATTCATTTCTTATCTGATCTCCCCCAAAGGAGAAAAATTTAAGGTTATCAGGATTTTGCTAAAGACATCTTGCTCTAAAAGTAATGATTGTTAAATAAATAAGAACCAAACAATTTAGTTGGAATTTGAATTGTGAGGCCTTTAAAGGCTGAGAATTATGGTGGTTACCTGATTTAGAATTTAGAAGAGAATAATAGGCTTGTGCCCCTTGCTATAAATAGTGCATGATCACTTTCTGTGCAGTCTTATGAAAGATCCGTTAAGTATATTTTCCCCGTTTTTGTCATTGAACCCCTAGATGGTTGCCAGTTACAGAGATGCAGAGGGCAAGCTACATCAAGTTCTAGTGGCAAACCATCACAGAAGGAAGTCCTCTCCTTAAAAAAAAAAAAAAAAACTAGAAACATACAATAAAAAGAAACTGTCAAAAAGGTTAGTGCTAGAGAACAGTGAGGGAGACAGGTTAAGTTGTATATAAAGTACAAATGAGGTGATGCATCTGACATACAGGTTAGAGCCTAAAGCTTAAGGCCGAGAGAACTGTATGCCACAGGCTCTGTCAGGACCTGTAGGACTGGACAATTAGACACCCAGTTCTTTGTGTTAAGGATAAGGTCATTTGTGTTCCTGGTACATAGCTGTTCAATAGATAATGTAGTGAAAAGTGTTATGCACACATATGTAGAAATCTTGACTCATCTTGGTTTAGGCAGCTAAATATTCCCTAAGACAGAAAAGGAACAGGGTTTTAACTACACCAAGAAACATTCATACTAAACACAATAGGTTGTTTTATAATAGTTGGGATTTACAGAATGTTTTGCTTTGGGGAGGTGACACTTTAAAACATGGTATTCTATGAAAACTTTTTAAAAAGGTAAGTGTGAAGTTAGGTGTATATCAAGTTCTTTCCAGCATGATTGTAGTCCCTGCTTCTCGTCGTCTTAATATTCCACCACCCTACTCATTCAGTATGGTCAAACATGTAGGTCAGTCATTGCTGGCACCTTTACCTGTTGATAATTTCTACTGGTGCTGGACAAAGTAGGATCACTAGTACTTATTTAAATTCCAAACTAGCAATCCAGAAATGCCCCAAACTTCTTCGTCTAAAGGAGTGAAGCATGTGACTCGGTGAGTCCCACACTGGCCTCTTGAGCTGTCTTTGACAGCTGTTCCTTTTTCCTAGAACTGACTTTTCTCTCTGCAAGGCTGCTCTCTCTCTTCTTCCTCACCACACAACACAAAGTTAGTGGTTTGGTCTTCTCCTATTCCTTAAACTGTCACAACTACATTCATAATAGGGCATTCAGATATTTAGATGATATAATGAAAAGTTTTGGAAAAGATATAATTGTGACTTTGAGGACAATAATTGTGACTCAATCCTAGAGATTGGCTCTAAGAGTTGTCAGCTGGTTAGATTCCAAAGGTGCAGATGGTGTGATCTTCGGGAAGAACTTCAGCTGAAGGACAATGGGATATGCAGCTGTTCGCTAAGAACCATGAATATCTAGCCCTATTATTTCTGGATAGTGCCAAAGGTTAGAATTAGTTAAGACACAACTAGGAATTTTTAAATGGCCACTAACGTTCCAGGCTCTGAGCTCAATCAGGATGTGGCCATTTCCTGAAAATTTCTGCTAGAATCTTGTGTTAGTCTGCTCAGGCTGCTGTAAGAAAATACCATAGACTGGGTGGCTTCAACAGCAGAAAGTGATTTCCTCACAGTTCTGAAGGCTGAAAGTCTGCGATACCAGCATGGTCAGGTTTTGGCAAGGACTTTTACTGGCTTGCAGACAGCTACCTTCTTGCTGTGTGTTCACATGGCACCGAGAGGGAGAGATCTCTGTCTCTTCTTCGGGCCACAGTCCTTCCTGACTAGGGCCCGATACATGACCTCATTTAACCTTAATTACCTCCTAAAGGCCCAGATGTCTCATTCGGAGTTAGGGCTTCAGCATGAATTTTGGTGGGGAACACAATTCGGTCCATAGCAGGGCTCTTCCAAGAAGCTTTCTAGGTTATGTTTAAATGATATTTTGAATGTCCATCTATATCATGGTATTTGAGTTTCCTGCATTTTAAGTCTTGGTTGGGGTTTCTCAATTGTTAGCTAAAATGATGAATGGCCTTGGGCTCAGGGACAAGGGGAGAGGCAAGATTGAAGGAGGAGTCACTTTGGCCACTTGTAAATTGTTTTGTGGCCATTATTTAATCCTCATCACGACCCTATGAGCTAATACGACTGTTTTAGAGATGAAGAGACAGGCTCAGGACTTGCCCAAAGTCATATGTTAAATTTAGCAGAGCTGAGATTCAGATGTGGACCCAGGTGGCCCAGGGTCACCCTCCTAAATGCCACACTAGACTTAAGTCACAGTTATTAAAAGAGCAAGGGAGTCGAGTTAGGCAGTGGCTCTGAGACAAGTTTTGTCTTAAGGAACCATTATAAGGAACAGCCACTCTGTTTGAATCCTCACATTTCACAGTTGAGAAAAACTGAGCTCTAGAGAAGCTGAAAAAACCAAATGTGATTATGGATTGAAAATGCTTTATTAACTTGAAAGTGCTCTTCAGTTGCCTGTTGTTTGGCTTTTATTATTATTTTAGTGCCCTGACCTCTTGGCTAATTTCTTAGTTCCACTGGCCAAGCCTTACACATAAATATGTGCTAAATTACACAACTCTAGAGAGAAGCAGCACAGACACTTCAAAACATTTTTCATCTTCAAGGTGAAGATAATGGATCTTCATATTTTAATAGCTCTAATAGCCAATTCTAACTTCAGTTGAATTTCTGGGCCTCATGTGTTGGCTTTAGGAAGACCAGCCCTCAACAGTATAATGATCTGAATGATTGGTGCTCAAATCGTAGATGCCATTCTGCCGTTGATTGATCATCTGGTGGCTGATTGTGTAGCTCTCCACTACTCATTTGCCTTATTTGTAAGTGGGGGAAAATGACACACAGTTCCTAGGACGGAGCACAAATGAAAAACCCTTAGGTGTGGTCCTGGCTGTTTTTAGCCTCAAAGCCAGATATCTGCTTTGTCCTTTGTCAGGTTCAAGAGTCCATTTGGCCTTAGTCTTCCGGGATCAATGCAAGCTTACTCCTCAGGCATTGTCTTTGCTTGTTCATTCAAGAAGATAGTGATATGGCTATTTTGCATTTAATACTTCAAAGATTTAAAAATGTACACCTTCCAATATGGTAGCCATTATTGGAGTTACAATAGCTTTTAAGTCAGAAACCAAGACTAGTTAGGGAGAGGGCATTTTGTAAGAATAGCGGAAACTCACAGGATGGAAGGGAAGCCAGAATTATGCGTGAAAACAGAACAAAGACAGCTCCTGGAGGTTGAGGAAGCTCTATTTGTAAGAGTGGTCTGCTCAAGGAGCCACTGCTTTAATACATTCCTTCTTTTCTTTTATCCCTAAGTCACCTGCTCCAGATTCACTTTTGCAGATGAGAGCAACTGGCTGTGTGAGCCTAGGTCACTTGCCGGTCACTGTGCATCTAAAGGAAGGGTCAGTTAAAAGGAACCTCTAGGGGCTCTTTGGTTTCTGTGATGAGGGGCCTGGATTTACAACCAATAGGGGCGGAGAGAATTACTCAAAAAGGAAATTGAGGTTGCTAGGATGGGGGAATAGATGCCAGGCAGCTGCTCTAGAGGGCTACAAACAAATTCTATAATAAAACATATTAAGTATATTCTATGTGCTAAGGGCTTTACATGAAATATTTCTTGTTCTTCAAATTCCTATAGGCAGTTTTGAAAAGAATGCTCAGATCGTGAGCCACGTCAGAACCCCTCCGATCTCCTCTACCCTTCTAGGCTTTTCTAGAAATGCCCCTTTCACAGGATGAGCTCTCGGGAACTCTGACCCTACTTTTCTCACCTCCACAGTAGCCGACAGACTCAGGACCACTGGAAAGCCTTCCTGTCATGTTCTGCAGGTGATTGGGCAGGAAGCAAATGGGAGAGCACATGGGCCTTGTTTTGACATGGGAATCTGAGAAGCAGAGAACTGGTTTGCAGGGAGAAGAATGAAGCAGACATCCAAAGAAAAGTGGGAGCACTCCCAACTCCAACCCCTTTCTGAGACTCAACTATATTCCTGCCCTTGGGTTCCGAGAAGTACCCCATTATTTCCCTTCGATGCTTGAGTAGGTTCCTGTTACTTGCAATTGCTGTCCTAATAGGTAAGTCTCCCTGTTGTTATCTTAATTTTAATGATAAGAAAAAGAATGGCAAGTGTTCTTTCTAGGGCTCCACAGCTTTAAGAGGCAAAGCTATGATTCACATAAGGTCCACTGGACCTGTGTTAGAGGAGATGAGGGATTGAAGGCAGTACCAACATCTGGGGAAGCATAGAGACAGCATTGGAACAGTGTCTCAGATTGAGGTGGTACAGGATACCAACAGGTAGAAGGGCTGGTGTTTGAAGAGGAGTGGATGGACTGACAGAAGGCAAGGAGCTTGGAGACCCTGGATATGCGTAGTCAAGGATGGATCATCCCGTGTGACAGAACCATAGGAGCAGTAGGGACTGTTAACATGCTTTCGTATAGATGTAACAGGTTCCAGCGTCAGA